TCCTTCATAAGAACATATAAGAGTCAGATCATAAAGGGCCTTGAAAACTAGCTTTATCATTTGTACCCTGAAGTTTTTTTTTAACTTTGGAAGTGAATAGTATGACAAGAATTATATAGTAGGATGATTACTCTAGTAGAAGCATGTAATAAATGAAGGATGGAGAGAGTATTTACATTAAGAGCAATCAGGGTGTTGTCCAAACTGACACAGAAGAGTTCTCCCCTTAGAGTATTAATATATTAGAACAGGAATGTAGAGAGAATGGCAAATAATAAAATCTTTAAGAGAAACATGGGTGAAAATTTTTAACTAATCAAATAAGAGGGATAAAAGAGAGTTGAAGATGCATCCAAGGTTTTGGGCATATATGACTGGAACTATAAGGGAACATAGGATTACTATAAATAAAGAAATGGGGCAGATGAACTAGTTGAAAGCAGTGGGAGATTGGGAGTCAAACATATTGCTCAAAATATCGGGTTGGAAGTCATCCTAATCACCGTGATCTTGGATATTGTGGGCCAGAACTGAGTCAAAGAAAACAGTCAAGATAATAACAGATACTCAAGAATCTAGCTATGAGAATAAATACAAGTAGGAGGATAAAGGAGAAACAGGATGAGAAAATAGGAGAGAATGTTGAATTTCAAAAGAGTAGAAAGAAATGTAAAGATTATACTGCTAAAGAAAGAATGATTCAGCCTTCAAGACCAACCATTTGGTGGTTTCAAATAGCTCAATAAAAAAAGAATGCTGTTAGAAATACCTCAGCGAACCTATCAAGAAGACTTTTGGAAATCTTTATAATTAAAATTTGCTGTAATCTCATTGCAATGAATTCTAAGTGGAATAGAATAAAACATAAACAAATAGAAAAACTAGGAGACAGAATTGAATATTTATAAGATCCTCTGATAGAGGAAACATTTGTAAGCTTAGAAGTAGTGGGAAAAATCATAAAAGAAATGCTCATTAGATCTGATTACATGAAAACAAATTTCTGAATGCAAAAAACACAAGTTACTGAGTAGAAAAATATGTGAAGCCAAATTTGACAGAGTTAATCAGTTTTATAAAAAGCTAATGGGAAACCCCAGGAAAAAAATACACAGGGCAGGAAATGAGGTGTAGCCCATTTGCTTATCTCCTCCAATTTATCTTCCAGTTAGAGTCTATGTTCCATGAGGACAGAGCTCATTTCTATACCGTTTAGTTTGCAACCCAGTATTTAACACATTCTGTCTTGGGATAGGATGAAAATGAGGTTACTTCCTCAGATAGGAAGGAAAGATGATGAGAGAGAGGGTGTGCTATGAAGATGAACTCAGATTGCCCATGCATGCTTTATGGTACAGTAGGAGATCCAAGCTGAGATGTTCAGTGCATATCTATAGTACAAGGTTCTAGACCTCTGAGGAAAAGTTCAAGTTTGTGGTATGGCTTTTAAAATAATAAATATACAATTGGTGATTAAATAGATGTGTATCTTTACCACCCAGATGAAAGTATGTAGAGTGAGAAAAGGGTTCCCAGAAAGCCCAGTGTTTGAGAAAAAGGCAGAGGATGCAAGGAAAACCAGAATAATATGTTCCCATGACATTTAGGGAAGAGACTATTTGAGGGAGCAGGGTGTATTTCACAAAAGGAAGCATAACTGGCATATAATATATGCTAAAAATATCAGCTATTATTATTATTATTATTATTATTGAAGAGAGATTAATAGCAGGGCACTTTATTAAATGTGGTATTAAAGTCACTGAGGAACAGAACAGAGGTACAAAAGGAGAACAAAAGATCAAAGCTACATAAAAAGCTGAATGTACATATTTATTATTAGTTGACAGCACAAACTACTTTACAATAAATGAGACACCTGAAATGCTATTAAATGCAGACGCACTAACATGCAGCCAAGACACCAAGAAGAGCAACAGAGCCTGTTTCAGAGACTGTTTTTCACCTGCACCAGGGATCTGAGCAATGACTCCATTAAATGTGATCATGGCTCTCACTTGTTGGATAGGAACGCAAATCTCATGAAACCTTACTAAGTGAGAAAATTTAAAATACCCACAGTTAGACTTCCAGTCAAGATGGAGGTGTACGTAGATACACTTTGTCTCCTTGCACAACAACAAGAAGGGCAATAACAAATTTAAAAACAAAAAAATAACTAGAACTGCCAGAAAATTGAACTGTATGGAAGTCCAACAACCAAGGAGTTAAAGAAGAAACATTCATCCAGACCAGTAGGAGGGGTGGAGATGGGCAGCCAGGGTGGAGAGGACTCATGGCAGGGTAGTGGCTGGAGGACTGGGCGGTCCCACATAGTGGTGCCGTTACATTGGGAGGAACAACCAGGAGGTGAGAGACACTGCACAATCCAGGGTCCCAATGTGGGGAAATAAAGCCTCAAAACCTCTGACTGAAAAAGCAAATGGTGGTTGAGGCAGCAGGAGAAACCCTCAGCCTCACAGGAGAGTTTAATGGAGAGACCCACAGGGTCCTAGAAGGTACAGAAGCCCACCCACCCAGGAACCAGCCCCAGAAAGGCCAAATTTGCTTATGGGTGGTGGAGAAAGTGACTGAAAGCCAGACAAGAGGTGAGCAAGCAGCACTGTTCCTTCTCTGACTCCTACCTGACATACAACATTACAACATAGCATGTGGACTTTCCCGCCGTAGTGAATACCTAAGGCTCCTCCCCTTACAATGTAACAGGCATGCTGAGACAAAAAAAATATGCCCCAAATGAAATAACAGATCAAAGCTCCAGAAAAAATAGAATTAAGCAGTGAAGAGATAGCCAAGCTATCAGAGGCACAGTTCAAACCACTGGTAATCAGGATGCTCACAGAAGTGGTTGAGTATGGTTGCAAAATAGAGGAAGAAGTGAAGACTATGCAAAGTGAAATAAAATAAAATGTACAGGGAACCAACAGTGACAGGAAAGAAACTGGGACTCAAATAAAGGATTTGGAGCAGAAGGAAGAAATAAACATTCAACCAGAATGGAATGAAGAAACAAGAATTCAGAAAAATGAGGAGAGGCTTAGTAACCTCTGGGACATCTTCAAAAGTTCCAACTTCTAAATCACAGGAGTGCCAGAAGGAGAAGAGAAAGAGCAAGAAATTGAAAAATTATTTGAACAAATAATAAAGGAGCACTTCCCTAATCTGGCAAAGGAAATAGACTTTCAGGAAGCCTAGAGAGCCCCAAAGAAGCTGGACCCAAGGAAGCACACACCAAGGCACATCATAATTACATTACCCAAGATTAAAGATAAGGAGAGAATGTTAAAAGCAGCAAGAGAAAAGGAGACAGTGACCTACCAAGGAGTTCCCAGAAAACTATCAGATGAGTTCTCAAAAGAAACCTTGCAGGCAAGAAGGAGCTGAAAAGAAGTATTCATAGTCATGAAAGGCAGGGACCTACATCCAAGATTTCTCTATCCAGCAAAATTATCATTTAGAATGGAAGGGCAGATAAAGTGCTTCCCAGATAAGATCAAGTTAAAAGAGTTCATCATCACTAAGCCCTTATGATAAGAAATTTTAAAGACATTTATCTAAGAAAAAGAAGAAAATCAAAAGTATGAACAGTAAAATGACAGCAAACTCACAACTATCAACAACCATACCTAAAAAAACAAAAACAAACTAAGCCAACAACTAGAATAGGAACAAATTCATAGAAATAGTGATCACATGGAGGGTTAGTAGCTGGAGGGAGGGAGAATGGGTCAAAAGTTACAGGAAATATGAAGCATTTCATATGGTACAAATGAAATGGTAGGTACAAAATAGACAGGGGGAGAGGTTAAGAATAGTATGGGAAATGGAGAAGTCAAAGAACTTATATGTATGATCCATGGACATGAACTAAGGTGGGAGAATGCTGGTGAGGGAAAGGGAGGTACAGGGTGGAAGGGATTAAAAGGGAGAAAAAAATGAGACCATTGTAATAGTATAATCAATAAAATATATTTTAAAAATACCCACAGTCAAAGCAAATATGAATCACTTCAATTTTGTTATTGTTGTTTGTCATTCTCAATTAACATATCAAGTGATATTAAACATTTTAAGGTAAGGATCAGAATTAAAATTTATTAAAATAGCTATTGAATACTGGCCAACAGATTTTGCTAAGATGATTATCATAAGAAAATGGAGAAAATGTCTTCTGTGAGCCTAAGTTAATACAATTATTTTTATGAGACTAAGATAATGCATTATGGAATTGATCCCTGAAACAGTTACTCTTTCCACAAAAGCAGTAAAATAAATATGGGTTTTGCTGTTCTGCAAACTGCCACACCAGAGGGACAGGAGTCCTGGCCCTGTTCCCTGTGGAACAACGGCATAAGAAAAATATAAGGCATGCTCATTTCTTACAGGAACGTGGTTGTCCTAACCAGACTACCGATTTTCTTTTAAAGACATTTTAGAGCAATCAGCATTTTCCCCAGCTTATAGCGTTGATCCTCATTATTTGTGGATTCAGATTGTGTGAATTTTTCTGCTTGCTAATTTTATTTGTGACCCCAAATCAATACTCACAGCACTTTTGTGGTTGTTAGTGGGCAAGCACAGGGTGTAAAAAAAGTTTCCAGCTGAGGTTGAACAAGGCAATATTCTGCCTTCTTGTTTCAGCTTTCACACTGTAAACAAGTACCCTTTTCATGGTCTGTTTAGTGCACATTTCTCACATTTTTGTGCCTTTTGTTGGTGGTTTCACTGTTTAACATAGTTTCCAAGTGCAGTGCTGAAGTGCTGTCCAGTGTTCCTAACACACAGAAAGCTGCGCGTGTTTCTTTCAGGCATGAGCTGTAGATCCTGGCTGCTCTGAGTGCCAGGTAGGGAAGGGGAAGTGCGGGGATACTGGGGGGAAAGGATCAGTTTTCCAAAATGCTGTACATCCACGGTTCTCTTCTGGGAAAATAATTACCAAAACTACAAGAAGTCCTACACAGGTACTCTTTCTTTTCCAGGTTGCCCTCTCAAGTTCTTCCTACTGACCCGCCTCACCGAGATTTAGGTCTCCACCTGGACAGTAACTCCCACAGGAAAAGCATCAACAGGTGACCAGCTGCTCTATTCTCTAGCCTCTCTCAAGCCATGTCGGTAAGCCTGACTGAAGTTACTACCTCCATCATCTGCGGTTGTTGCCTGTTCTCCCAGGAGACTCTCTGTTTTTTCAGGACAGTCCTATTGTCTCCAGGTTGCTCAGCCACCTGTACTGGCAGAACTTCCCACCTGGCATGTCCCCACCTCCTTTGGGCCTCACAACTCATTGCTTAAAGTAGTGGACAATGTGGGCTGGTTCCCAGTGTGGGACTGCAGCCACAGCATCTTCCTTCTGAGACGCAAGAAGTCTCTGAGCTGCTCACGTCTGGCTTGAGGGTGAAAACAGGCTGAGGCAGACCTGGTCTTTTCAGGTCCTGTGTGGCTCCACTCAGCAGACCCTCTCTGGTTTCTGAGGCCATCTAAGTCCTCATTAACTTCTCGACTGGCAGCTTTGTGAGTCCTGCCTACCATGCAATATCTGCCTTTTCCTTAGCAAAACAAAAAGAATTGTACAGGTGCCCTTAATTTTTAGAAATTCTGGGATTGAGGGATACCTTTCATGGATCTGCTGAGCAATTGGATACATGTTAGAAAAACTGTAGATGAGAGTTACTCCATTAGAGAAAAAAATAGAACTTGAACAATTAAGGGGTGATGCTATAGGGTAAGAAAGAATGTAGTCATTCGGTCCTTGGACCAGGTGGGTAATATTATCTCTCAATAAAGGATTATAGGCAATGGGTTAAGCAACCTAGTGGGTTAACTAATGGAGGAAGCCAGGAAGGAGTCCAAACAGATTCACTTCCCATTAGGGACCAGGTGTTTTGTTGTAGCATCAGAAATCCTGTCCTTTTGATACCAGACTAAAGATTGCTTCATTATTACTCTATTTCTTTTGGGAATTCCTTTTCAGATACCAAACACTTTGTTTTTTTTTTTTCCCAAACACTTTCTTAAATGACAGCATATCTCATTTGTACTAAGGGAACTAAGAAAGCACATTTGTGTCCTCACTTGAACCAGAGTTTAAAAAAAACAGTGTCCCCTCCCGTGTGGTGGGCACAGTGACAACAGCAGGAATCAGAGATAGAAAGCTGTGGGGTGGAGGGGGAATGAGGGTTCCTCGTAGACCCACTTGCAGGTTTTTGTTTCCACAGATCCTGTTTCTGCTGGAATCTTAAAGAGTTGGTAGTTTGATTTTAAGAGGCAGAGACATTCCTCCCAAGTTATAGTACTAAGGAGGACTCAGAGGTATTCTGGGCATGTTAGATTTGGCCCAGCCCCAGGGCAGAACCGTTTACCTTACAGGACCTTGTCTGGTTAGGGCAAGTGCTAATCAGCTGCTGGGAGGGATCTTCCTACTCACTCAGGAGTGTGGGGCTTAGCTCACTAGGCTTTGGGGCTTAACAGAGGGAGGGAATCTGGGGCTGGCACTGCCAGTCCAGAGGGCTTAGCTTCCTTGGCAGAACTCGCTGCATGACTGGTGAATTATTAGACCTTTAACTGGCATGGGCATCGTGTTTAAGACCCCAGATATCAAGGCTGCAGATATCTCTGTAAGCCATTTTCTCCCCTATACCAAATATTTGAGAGGAAACATCTGAACTGTTAAAGTAAAAATTTTAATATGGGGGTTTTTGTTTGGTGGGAAAGAAGAAACTAATCTGAAAGATTGGATTTTGGAGAAAAGTGCTAATCTTTTTGAGTAAATGTGTGTGGATCCTATTTTGCTGCCAGCTGGGTTTGTCTAAGTCTGAACTTGGACACTGGATTGCTCAGGGGACAGGTGTAACTGTGCCTCTGCAAGACGGTCATTCTCAGTATGGTGTTGAGTTACTTTGATCATTCTTGCTCGTGCATTCATTCAGTGCATTGTGAAAAGCCCTTTCTCATCCACATTCCTGTTTCCCTGTGTTCTTAGTAAAATTTATGTCCCAAGAACTGCTCGTACAGTCAGTAGTCACCCTAAGTTTGAGAAATTCTGGGTTAAACAAAAATTAAACCAATTCCTTTTCAGAAAGATTTCTCCAAAGTCTTGAATATGCTCTCTCTGTATTTTAATTGTTACCTCCCCTGCCCAACCCTTTTTGGGTAAATATCTGCTAATATTATTCAGGATACTTTTCCTGAAAGTAAGTTTGGGAAACACTACTTGATTCTAGGGAGACAATGAGATACAATTGGTTTAATTATAACCAGAGGGATCGGAGCCTGTCAGCAGATGGTCGTGAAGGTAAAGCCCTGGAATGACGGTCCCCTCTTTTTTCAGAAGGTCTTATGAGGGAGACGTTTACTTGTCTCAGATAACATTACAAAATCTGTTAAAGAAGGAGGAAAGTGAAGCAGAGGACCCATGGAGGACCTTGCAATTCTTTGGTTTTAGGATAAAGTTTTTTTTAGAACCTTTTATTAATTAATACACCTTTGTTGGAAAAGGTTAGAGAACCAAATCTAGAAAGTGTCTTTGTTGTCTACTGTTGAGTAACTATTTTAGCAACACGTAGTAGGTTAAAACAACAAATACGAGGTCTGTCCAGAAAGTATCCAGCCATGCACTATGGAAAATAGAGATGTTTATTGAAGAAGATGTAAGATGCAAGAAACATTGTACATAGGACACTGATGCCTCTGTCCCCTTTGAAGTGGGCACCTTGGGACCTCACACAGTTCTCCCAGTTGCCATCAGCTGCCCCATCATATTTTCCTGAATCTCATCATTGGCCTGAACTTGCTTCCCTTTCAAAGGTGATTTTACCTTTGGGAAAAATGAGAAGTTTCAGGGCACCAAACCTGGGCTATAGGGGGCTGAGTCACCTGGGTGATTTGATGTTTCACCAAAGAACTCTGCCTGGGACGTGATGCCTGAGCGGGCTCATTGTTGTGATGAAGTTGCCAGTCACCAGTTGCTCATGGCTGCAGCTTTCTGAATCACGTGAATGGTTTCTGTGGAAGAATGTTCAAGCCTAACACAATATTTAATGCAGTTTTGTTGCCGAACTCACTCATTTTAAATGTGATGGCCATACAGTACAGATGTTCACTCAACAGTGTCTACCACCGCCACTGACTAGTACAGTGAAGTCATCATTGTTCACACATGTGGACTGCAGTCCACTCTCCTTGGCTGCCAGGTTACATCGATGTTGTGCAAACTGTTCTTGTTATATTAACAGTGGTGGACTTTTTCTAGACAGACCCCGTATATCACAGTTTCCCCAAGTCAGGAATTCAAGAGTGAGCTAGCTGGATTGTTTGGCTCATTTTTTCTTGTAAAGCTGTAGTCAGGGTATAGGCTGTAATATTCTTTTTAAACTTTTAAATTTATTTATATATATATATATATTTTAATTGTTGTTCAAGTACAGTTTTCTGCCTTTTACTTTCACCCCAGCCCACCCCCACACCACTCCCCACCTCCCTCCCATTACCACCCCCCATCGTTTTTGTCCGTGTGTCCTTTATACTTGTTCCTGTAAACCCTACCCCCTTCCCCTGAAATTCCTTCCCCACCCTCCCCTCTGCAATATTCTTAAAGCCTGACTGGGGTGGAGGGCCTGTCCCCAGGATGGCTCACCTACGTGTCTGTTGGCAGGTGGTCTCAGTTCCTCACCACTTGGGCCTCTCCTCAAGCTGCTCGGGAGTCTTAATGATGTGACAACTAGCTTTACCCACCATGAGTGATCTGAGTGAGTGAGTGAAGAGGAAGCCATAGTGCCTTTTAAGATCTAGTCTCTGAAGTTGTACTCTGTCACTTCTGCTTTACTCTATTGGATGGAAGTGAGTCACTGAGTCCAGCTTACACTGAGAGAAGATTTGGCATCACTTCTTATAAGGAAATGAATCAAAGAATTTTTGACGTATTTTAAAGCTACCACAGAAGGTTTAAATATAAGGAAATGAAAAAAAAAAGGACAAGGCAGGGCAGGACCTGGATTATTTAGTTCAGCATCTCATTGCCATCAGCAGGGATCAAAGTTCTTTCCACCCTCTGTCCCGCCGTGCTTGCTCCCTTGGCTTCGTGCTCAGGTTGGCTCCCAGTGTAGCTGCAAAATGACCACGTGAACACTGGCTTTCATATCCAGTGGCAACAACATCCAGCAGACTTACAGATCACGTCTTCCTATGACATGGTTTTTGAGTAAGGAAACCTTCCCTGGAAACCATTAATGGCTCCTGTCTTGACTGTCTTGTCAGAACTGCATTTCATATTCAAGACTACACCAACCCCAAGCGAGAGGAGTGGGATTGCCACGCATGACTTTAGTAGATCAAGAAGTACTCCTGAGCTAGCAAGGGATCAGGACACCTGTCCTGAGGTGGACCCAAACAAATTCGAGTTCCCTTCACAAGGACGGGACACAAATGGCTCCTGGGCTGACAACATGCAGGCAGCTAACTGTGTGGATCCTTGACCTCCTTCCATAACAGTTTTCCAGTCACCCTGCTGGGTGGACAAGACTGCGTCACCTTTTCAATAGGGCATTCGAGTAAAAGCTTATACTTCCGTCAGAGCAGTGAGTTTAGGGAGCTTCTCAGTAACTCTTGATATGAACTTTATTCTAGTTAAAACGTAAAAAAATTTAGAGGATGTAATCTCAAAATGCATCTTTAACAATGTGTAGCTTTGGTGAAAGAGATGGGTTAGAGATTAAATTCAACACTTCTGTGGGAAATACTGCAACATTCAGGCTGAGGTGAAAGGGCTACATTACTTCTCATTTGGTGTTAGTAACACAGGCTGAAACTTGTCATTTTCCTTATGGCAGCCGAACATTTAAAAAGTAGCCTTGAGCTGTGTATTAATGACCTAGTATTTTATTTCATTTTATTTCCTCTCTGTGTCCCGCCCTCTGCCCCCTTGGTGCTGCATCGGAGCCCTGCTAAGGCAGGGGTTGCAGGCCAGAGGCCGTCTTGCTCCGCCCTCTCTGTGACCAGAGGCCTGCAGAGCTACGCTCACCCAAAGTGTATGTCCCCAGCAGTGTGCCATGTCTCAGCTTTACTCTGTTGCAGTCACTTCATGGAGTTTTTATAATTGCTGAATAATTGCCTGAAGACAA